TGGTTTTTTTGTGTTGAGTTATATAACTTCTTTAATTTTGGATACCTTTATTGGATATGTCATGTGCAAATATCTTCTGTCATTCAGTAGGTTGTCTGAGTTTTGTTGACTGTTTCCTTTGCTGTGCAGAAGTTTTTTGTTTTGATGTAGTCCCAGTAAGTTTGTTATTGTTTGTTTTTTTTTGGGGGGGGAGGCAAGGGGAAAGAGAATTTTTTTTTTTAAAGATTTTATTTATTTATTTGACAGAGAGACAGAGAGAGAGCATGAGAGGGGAGAAGGTCAGAGGGAGAAGCAGATTCCTTGCTGAGCAGGGAGCCCAATGTGGGACTCTATCCAGGGACTCCGGGATCATGACCTGAGCCGAAGGCAGCTGCTTAACCAACTGAGCCACCCAGGTGCCCTGAAAGAGAGAATTTTAAGCAGGGTCTACACCCAGTGCAAAGCCTGACCTGGGGTTCTGTCTCACCACCCTGAGATCATGGCTTGAGCCGAGCCACTTAACCTACCGAGCCACTCAGGCACTCCCCAATAGTTTATTTTTGCTTTTGTTTCCCTTGCCTCAGGAGATATATCTAGAAAAACGTTGCTGTGGTTAATGGCACAGAAATCACTGAACTTTTTCTTTCTGCTTTGTAAATATAGTGAAGTTCTAGAGCCTCTTCTGATTTCCTTGTTATTTCCTTCCTTCCTTTCATAACTAAACTCTAGAAAACTTGACGTCATGTCTTGTTTGCATTTTCTCTCCATCAATTCTTCTTTCACCTACTGCTTTGTATTACTTTCACTGAAAAATTACCTCTCTGGTCATGACCAGTGACCATCACAGACAAATAAAATGTATTTCCTTAATTTTCATCTTCTTTAGTCATTCTGCTGCACCTGTCACAGTTGATTAGATCCACATTCTTGAAATTCTTTCTACTTTGGCTTTCATAACACTCTTTTTCTCCCACCTCACTGACCATTCTTCTCTTTTAATGAAGCCTCTTGCACAGATTGGCTTTAAGCGCTGTCTTTGGCCTTTACATTTCACACTTTATCCTTACTCTGTGGAGAATGCATTCACTCTCAGGTTCAACTACCACCCTCCAGCTAAAGATTCTAAATCTGCATTCCAGCTGTGACCTTCCTCTTGGTGTTTTGTTTTCTTTTCTTTTCTTTTCTTTTCGGTCCTAGTCATTTGCTATCAGGACATCCATTTAAAGATGTTGCTATCAGTTTGAAATTTAACTTGTCAAGTAAATACACATCTGGGGTGCCTCGCTAGCTCAGTTGGTAGAACATGTGACTCTTGATCTCGGGGTGGTGAGTTTGAGTACCAAGTTGGGCGTAGAGCTCATTAAAAAAATAATAAATACATACATACATATATACACACACATTTTTTCTAACATGATGGTGCCTCCTCTCAATGTCTTCATTTCCTCTTTTTTTTTTTTTTTAAGGTTTATGTAAGAGAGAGAGTATGTGCGCATGTGCGTACATCAGCGGTTTGGGGCGGGGGGTGGGGGTGGGAGGCAGCGGGAGAGGAGAGAATCTCAGGCAAGATTCTCTGAGCACAGAACCTGATGTGGGGGTGATCCCACAACCCAGAAGATCATGACCTGAGCCAAAATCAAGAGTGGGATGCCCAACCATTTGAGCCACCTCAACATTCTCATTTCTGTCATTCTGTTAATGGTACCATCTGCTGACCGTCAGGTTGATCTTGAAGTTGTCTTTGCCAGTATTTCTGTGCCCATATTTATTAAATAAAAAAATATTTCTGTGCCCGTATTTATTAAATAAAAAAATATTCCGTCAGAATGTTGAACCTTCATATCCACAACCCTCATTCTCAACTCACTTCCGGATTGAAAAGTCTCCTAATACTATCTAACCCTTCCACTTTAGGTGTCTAAGACAGGGGTCAGCAAATTACCATCCATTGGCTAAGTCTGGTCTGCCATCTGTTTTTGTATGGCCCATGACCTAAGAATGGCTTTAATATTTTTTAATGTAAGTGTTAAATATAATATCTTATGACATTTCTGTGTTTATAAATAGATTTTATTGGAACACAGTCATTGTTTATGTATTGTCATGCTTATGTATTGTCCATGGCTGCATTGTGCCGCAAAGGCAGAGTTGAGTAGTTATGACAGCAACCACATGACTTGCAAAGCCAAAATTACTCTGTCTGGTCCTTTATAGGAAATAGTTTGCTCACCCCTACTCTAGGAGTTTCCTTAACATGGCTTTCAGAGTCCTGTGTCAGCTTTCCATACCTTTGCTCTGACCTCGCACACGTACAGCGTGAATTCCTATAATGTTTGTTTTTCCTCTCATCTCTCATGTCTTCCCACCCTACCAGTTCCTTTTATACATTGCCCAAGGTTTGGTTGGAGGTTCTTCTACTGTAAGACCCCTTTCTCATATGATTTCGTTTTGTTGATCTCTCCATTATTTTGAACTATCTCCTCAAGAATTTTTGTCTGCACGCATATTTTTAGGCACTTGTGTATATTCTGTTTTGTTTCTTAGACATTCCATTCTCACATATGCTGTAAGCTTTTTGCATGTAGGGACTTTGTCTTCCCTTCATTTGAGTATTTGGTGGTGGCAATCCATTTTGGTGACTCATCCTTCAGCATGGCCTTGCATAGAGAATTTTTAGAAACTTTTTTTTTCAACTTGTTTTTCTGTAATAGGGATGTATGTAGCTAATGAAATGTGTGTGTTTTGTTTTTAATCCAACTTATCCAGCATTTAGATTGTTATCTGGTTAGGAAATATTATAATGTGAAATATTCCTTTATTACTTACCTACTGGCTCTCCTTTCTTTCCTTGTCCTTTCATTTCAGTGTCTTAGAGCTTAAGTAAATACAGGAGCCAGGAAAATTAAGTCAGCAGGAATGTCCACAGAAACCGAGTAAGGGTTATTTGAATACCCGTTGTGCTATAGTGCACTGTACTGAGTTTATATAGACCAGTTAATAAAAAAACAAACAAACAAAAAAACAACCAATTATTGCTCTGAATGTGACATTCTAAAATAGACATAGTTAGGGGCACCTGAGTGGCTCAGTCAGTTAAGCATCTGACTCTTGATTTTAGCTTAGGTCATGATCTCAGAGTTGCAAGATTGAGCCCCACATCAGGCTCTGTGCTGGGCATGGAGTCTGCTTAAGATTCTCTCTCTCTCTCTTTATGCCCCTCACCCCAAATAATAATAATGAAAAATAAATAAATAAAATGATCATAGGTTTTTTTCTTTTTTAGATTTTATTTATTTATTTATTTGAGAGAGAGAGCACAAGTTGGGGAGAAGGGCAAAGAGAGAGAGAGAAGCAGACTCCTTGCTGAGCAGGGAACCTCACACAGGGTTCGATCGCAAGACCCTGAGAGTGTGATCTGAACCAAAGACTGAGCCACCCAGATGACCCAGACGTAGTTAGGTTAATATACAAAATAGAAAAGCAGAAAGAATTGAGGAACAATATTACAGAGACAGTAGAATTATAATTTGGGATGGGGGAGGGGCAAAGGGAGAGGGAGGGAGTGATTCTTAAAAGCAGGCTTCATACCCAGCCCAGAGCCCAATGTGGGGCTCAATCTCTCAACCCTGAGATCATGACCTGAACTGAAATCAAGAGTCGGACACTTAACTGACTGAGCCATTTAGGCACCCCGAATCATGATTTTTTTAATGTCAACACAAATATGAAAATATATCATTAAAAGCTAGCAAAGTTGTATATTATCCCCAATCTAAAGCCGGTTCATGAGACTAAGCAAATTGCAAATACTTTGTTTTCTCAATTACCTCTCTAATGTATACCATAGAGGCTTTTATATGCATACATGCATCTTTGTAGACTTGAATTTATTGTTGCTTAGAAATTTGGTATTAAATTTAGGGGGGAAATCCCTCAAGTTCCATTTCAAGGCACAGCATTTTTTTTTTCAAGATTAGGAAATCAGGATGGAGCTCCAGGATGGAACACAAAATATTTCGGGAATAATCATCCTACCATCCAGCTGCTATTTGCGGGGCACTGACTGCGTGCCAGCACTACATTACATATGTAATGTAGGTGCCTTACCTACATTACATATGTGTAGTCGTCACCAAAACACTCCAAGTCGGCAGAGAGGAGATCGCTGGGGCTCAGAAGAGGGAATCATTTTTCCAAGTTCACACAGCTGTTAAGTAGTGGAGCAGGATGAGAAACACATATCTTTTTTTCTTTTTCTTTTCCTTTTTCCCTTTTTTTTTTTTTTTAACACTTCCAGTTCAGTGCTGTTTTGGAATGATGACCTAGGAATGACCATTCAAGGGGGAGGGAATGGCTTGAGGCAGGCACAGCACTGGGAGGGGTTAAGGCCCTTGCAAGAAAGAGTAAGAGTTTGGGGCAAGAATGTAGCTGTTGTCATTTTGGTACCAGAAGGGGTACCCACCCAGTGTGCCAACCTGATGCGTCTTAGTATCTGATTTTACAAATACTGAACCCAACTGGCAACCATTTGTATCTTATCTTTTACATAACTGTCTTTTTCTCACAACAGCCGTGTTTCAGGTGAAACTCCTTGCATGATGTTGGTTAAAAACTCTGCAAGAACAGCGAAGGCCCTTATTTAGGAAGGGAAAGGATTTATAAATGCTTCATCCATAAACTGACACTGGACTCGTTTATTGCCTTCCTCTAACCTTTAGTTTCAGGTTAAGCTTACCTTCCAGTGACTCTAATGACAGAGAAGCTGCAAATGGATATGAGTGAAGTTCTTACATGTCAAAACCTGGCACAGAAACATTTTTGTTTGTTTGTTTGTTTTTTATGTATAAAAGGTGGAAAGAGCAAATCAAAGGCTATTCTTTAATAGCCAAATGTAATTAAAATGCATGGTCAGATTTACATTTTAGTACCACAGAGGCATTGATATCACCTGTTTCTGAAATGAGATTGCTGATTCAAAAAAAGAAACCCAAATCTCAATATGTAGAAAATTCTCTTACCGGCCTCCTCTTTTTTTTTTAATTGTGATGTTATGATATCATTTATAGGGTAAGATGGAAATGTATCTCTTGTGGAAACTGTAAACATACTTAAGATTCTATCACTTAGGGAGCTTCAGACAGAAGGATTTTCTTTCCCCTATAATCAAGTATTTAGCAAAGACAACATGAAGCTCCTTGGACTATGCTCAGTCGTACAATCCAACCCTCCCATACCTTTTTTCTTTTTCTCCTAGAGTAGTTTAGTTGCTTACCTACAGTGATTCAAAAGTGAGACACTTTGGTTTATCATCAGTATTTTGGTTTCGTCTTTGATGGGGCTGGTTATGTGGGGACTGAGCTATTTCGACATGCCTTTTGAGCTTTGTCCCTCCGTCAAGGAGCTTGAGAAGTGGAGATGAGGGGCCTCAGAGGTGATTTCTCCGACCTACCAGCTTAGGATTCAGAACAGCTGGATTTCTTTTCAGAGGCTGGAGGCCCAGATGCACAACCGTGAGAGCCAGGGGGCGGGGTGGCCCGTGGTCACCGCAGCTTGATTCTCTGATCCAGCTTTTCCCTTCCTTTCCCTGCCCCATCCCCAAAGCGCCAGTGATAGAATCGTTGAGGTTGGTGACGTGTTGAGGGCTGTCGGCATATTCCTTACTTAGGAGTCTTACTCTGAATGCATGTGTAAGAAAATTATAGAGAGGGTAGAATCGTGATTCTCTATGTCAACAAAAAGTGGTTATCAGTTAAAAAAATAAGCACTAGATTGAAAGTGGCAATAACTGGATTCTGCCGTCTCCCTTGACCTTGAAAAAGATCTATAACTCGTCTGCATGTTTCTTCGGTGGACCTGGGGTAATATGTGTTTCCTAGAGCTTCTGTGTGGTTGAGATAACCTGCAGGAAGTGTTTTGAACTCCTTAAGGAATGATGTCAAGGAGACAAAAGGCAATGACTGTTATTACCACAAAGACAGGGAGGAGGTAAAGACAGATCTGCATTTTCTTCCTTAATCTTCTCATCTTTCCAGATGCTTATGGGTCCTTTTGAGTCCCCTACCCTACTCTGTCCCTCAGGTTGGAGTGGTGGTGGGGTTCCATGCTTGGGTGCAGGAAGAATACCTTCTACCCCTTGACACTGTATTCATCAGGAAGGCCTGTGTAGGCACCACCCTTTGGGTCAGCATTGAGTGGGACCCCCACCGCGCTGTGCTGGGAGAGCACGGGATCTGCAGATAGAAGAAGGCATCTCTCTGCAGGCTGAGGACAGGCAGCCATGGAAGGTATACTCCTTCCTGGCTTGCCTACTCTTCCTTCATCCAGCCCACCGCCTGGTACCCAGGCTCCTCTGGTCACCTGCCATGACACAGGAAAGTGAATCCAAAGAGGCTGGTGCTTCCTACCTGCCTCGAGTGGGGCCGGCTGGGAACACCTTTCTGAGCAGCCCAGCAGTGTGAGCACACTTGTTCACGCTGCCATCAGCCATGTCCTTCAGTGCCACCATCCTCTTCTCCCCTCCCGGTGGCAGCGAGGCTAGATGCTGCTGCTGTGCTTGCAAGAGCGAGACAAGCGCGAGCAGCTCAGGGTCCCAAGGCGGGAACCCTCCCGCCAGCACCCCCATCACGGTGACTGGACACGGTCTGGCCGTTCAGAGTTCCGAACAGCTCCTGCACATTATCTACCAGCGGGTGGAGAAGGCCGTGGGCCTGGCCGAGGCCGCTCTGGGGCTCGCGAGGGCCAACAACGAATTGCTGAAACGTCTCCAGGAGGAGGTGGGTGAGCTGAGGCAAGGGAAAGCCTCTGCCCCCGAGGATGCGGACAGCCGGGCGCACGGCTCCCCGCCCGAGGAGCCGGGGCCTCTCAAGGAGAGCCCCGGGGAGGCGTGCAAGGCGGCGGCCGCGGCGGAAGAGGAGTGTGACAGCGTGGGCAGCGGCATGCAGGTGGTGATCGAGGAGCTGTGGCAGGTGGGAGCCGCCTCGGCCGTGGGGCCCGGGCCCTTGGGCTTCCCAGCCGCGCAGAGAGACGCGCGGCTCCCGGGGTGCCCCCTGGCGGCCGGAGACGCGGCCCCGCTGCTCAATCCCGTGAGTAGGGCCGCAGAGCGGGACGCGCGTGTCGTGGGGTGGCTCCCGAGGGCTTCTCCGGGCCTGTCGCTCTTCCTTCTGCCTCCCTCTGGCTTCTGTCCAGCCTTCAGCCTCGCTTTTGGGGGTTACTTGTGCGCAAACAGGACAGCCCCGGTCGTCCCTTCCCGGCGGGCATATGCAGCCCTCGTGTGCCTGGCTCCCCACCGCAGCCCGTATGGCAGGAGCTGGACTCCGGTGTGCGGGGAGCTGGCAGTGCCCTCCCCTGCCTCTCAGGAGTTCTGCGTGCCACCCTCTCCTCCACAGCTGGCTCCGCTGCTCCAGGGGCTCTGCCTCTCCTGGCGAGGAGGCCTGCCGCGCACAGACGGCTCATTCATATTTTATCACGGGCCCTCCGCCTGCCAAGAGGAATTCAGTACAGAGAGATGGGAATTGAGGGGGGGCAGGCAGAGGTGGAGAGAGAGGGAGGGGGACGGGGGAGGGACGGAGAGGGAGGAGAGGGAGAGGACAAAGGGAACGGAAGGACAGGTGTAGGGAGGGAAGGAGGCAGGTGGAGAGGAAGGGTTGAGGAAGGAGGGAAAGTGAAGAGAGCACAGAGGAAAGGCGAATCTAAATGGGAAGAGAATTGAGGCGGGCAAGGGAACGTGGGGGAAGATGGGAAAGAGGTGGAGGGAAAGGGAAAACATGAGGATGAGAAGTGGACAGCTGGGAGTTCCTGGGAAGAGAGAGACGTCGTTGTGAGAGAGACGTCGTTGTCGGGAGAACAAGGGGAGCAAGCGGGCATATTTTGTGAGCAGGAAAAGACACAGAAGTACACTGTGATATTTTAGTTTCTTTACTGCTCAGGGCCATCTGAGCAGGAAAACCCTGGCTGAGTGGAGTAAAAACTGCAGAGCGTGGCACATGGAAGTACGAAAAGGAGATGGAGCAACTAGGGAGATCACAGAGATGGGAAAGTAACAGATGTGTCACCACTTGAGAGACAGTGGGAGGTCTGTCAGCTCTCCTCCCCCATGGTCCCTCCCCCCCCCCACATCCTCTCTTTCCTCCTCCCTCACACACAACAAGGTCCAGACACCCAGGAAAGAGAGAAGGAGCAGAGCACACAGGGGAGATGGAAGGGAGGAAACTCCCAGCCCATCTGCTAGATCTGAGAAATGAATGTAGAAGCCCCTGTCCCCCTCCAGTGTCACGCTGTGGCTGGTCACTGCTCCCTGAAGGCCTAGCCATGTGGTGGGTGAAGGCCACTGCCGCTTGCCCCATTCAGCCCAGCCAGGACTCTGGAGGGGGGAGCTGCAGGGAGGTAGGAGGAGGCAGGGGGCACTAGGTACCAGGCTAGGCGGTGCCCTGAGCTTTGGTTCTGTCAGGCAGAGAAGGCTTCCAAGCCGACAGGATGGAATTAGATTTCACAGCGCAGAAAGCAGCTCACAGGTCTATAAATCTCAGCCTCCTCCCCCGCTTCTTTCTGTGTTTTTTTTTCCCCCCACTTTCACTGTTTTGTTTTCTTGGCTGCAGAAATCCCCCCTCCTTTCTTCCTTCTCTCTCCTTCCTCCCTCCTTCCTTTCCCTGCCCTGTATGTCCTTGAGTGAGGGCACAGGCAGCAAGTAGATGTCAGGACAATGACAGTCGGTGCGGCCAGGGCAGGATCAAGGTGGGGGCACAGACAGGTCCTGTGAAGGGAATGGAGGGGGGGACAGTTGGTGCCAGCCTCTGAAGAAATTTATGACTTTTTTTTTTTTTAAGATTTTATTTATTTACCTGACAGAGATCACAACAAAGCAGGGAGACAGGCAGAGAGAGGAGAAAGCAGGCTCCCTGCTGGGCAGAAAGCCCAGAGTGTGTGTGTGTTGGGGGGCTCAATCCCAGGACCCTGAGATCATGACCTGAGCTGAAGGCAGAGGCTTAACCCACTGAGCCACCCAGGTGCCCCATTTTATTTATTTTTTCTCCTTTCTTTCTTTCTTTCTTTCTTTCTCTCTCTCTCTCTCTCTCCCTCTTTCTTTCTTTCTTTCTTTCTTTCTTTCTTTCTTTCTTTCTTTCTTTCTTTCTTTCTTTCTTTCTTTTTAAGTAGGCTGCACACCCAACCTGGGGCTTGAATTCACAACCCTGAAGGCAGAGGTTTAACCCACTGAGCCACCCAGGTGCCCCGAAATTTCTGACTTTATATCTCTCTTCTTTGCTCCCATTTTTCTCCTGTTTCTCCTGTTTGTGTTATCATTTTATTTTCTTGTTCTTTCTCTGGCTTGGTGTTCCTTTCTTATCACTTCCTCCCCCAATCCTTTTAGACAAAATATTTGCCTGGCTATGATTCTTACACCCAAGAGCAAATCATAGATGATTCCTCACAAATAGAGCATCAGAAACAAGCTTTGTCCTTGTAATCAGTCCTGTGGGTAACGATTCAACTCGAGAGGCCGTGTATTTCTAAGAAATATTTTCCGACACTCCCGTAGGAGTCCCCGAGAAACAAGCTGTTGACCATTAGAGACTGTGCTGGATTCCCCCTGCTTTCTGCTCTCTCTGTTCACTGCCCTTGGCCAAAGAATGATGGTTGACTGAGTTCCCCTAAGCCTGGATGGCTAATGGACTATTCTTTTTTATGTTCTTAGCTGGTGGATGATTATGTGGCCTCTGAGGGTGCAGTACAGCGGGTCCTGGTCCCTGCTTATGCCAAGCAGCTCTCACCAGCCACACAACTGGCTATCCAGCGGGCAACCTCAGAGACAGGGCCAGAAAATGGAAGCAAGCTGCCACCACCCCGCCCCGAGGACATGCTCAGTGCTGCTGCTGCGCTGGAAGGTGCCTTGGAAGAGTCAGGCCCTGGAGGAACAGGGGAGCTGAGACACTCTCTAGGGTTTACCGCTTCCCCATGCAGGACCAGAGGGAGTGGGCAGAAGAACTCCAGGCGCAAGCGGGATCTGGTACTCTCTGTGAGTGAGCTCAATTCTATACATTTTTCTTCAGTCTGGAGAAAGAAATGAAGAATGAAGTGTGGGTTGATTTTAAACGTCCCATATTGAATGAATGGTGTCCTGGATCCTACTGGAGGGGGAGGGAAAACAAGGAGACAGGCTGGTCCATGGCCCTAAGGATGGGCAGGCCCCCTGCTAATCAGGGAACTTTAAAAAAAAATTTATTTATTTATTTGACAGAGATCACAAGTAGGCAGAGAGACAGGCGGGGGTGGGGGGTGGGCAGGAGGAAGCAGGCTCCCTGCTGAGCAGGGAGCCATATGTGGGGTTCAATCCCAGGACCCTGGGATCATGACCTGAGCTGAAGGCAGAGGCTTTAACCCACTGAACCACCCAGGCGCCCCATTGGGGAACTTTTTAAAGGCTTTTCCAAATAGCTTGAAATATTCTGTTTAAAGAGAAGGGTTTTCTATCACCTCTCCTCCCCATGAACTAATAGTCCTGATGGGAAGATCTTTAAGGGATTGAGCAGACTGACCACTGAAGGGTAGCACGGGGAACAGCCTACAGATAACTGGTGTTCAGGGTAAGCAGCAAGGGACCCCTTGGCAGAATGGCCAAGGAATGCTGAGGTGGCCACAGCCCAAGGGCGCAGAGGGCCCCTCATCTCTCAGCTCGGTTAAAAAGGTTTGGTGAGTCTAGGGATTCCAAGAGCTCTTGGCAGGGAATGTACTGGGCTGAACCAGTTGAGCCTAAAACTTGGGAGTGGCTTGGAGCCTCGGGAGCACCCCTAAACATCCTTCAGTGCACAGGGCAGCCACTCACAATAATTCGACCTAAAATGTCCGTCATGCCAGGGTCAAGAAACCCTACTCTAGGGTGACCATAGTCCCTTGGATTGCCTCTGCATCCCCAGACATCTTTCTGATAACTGTGGGGGTGTTCTTTAGCTAGATCCTGTTCATATGGACTGTAAGGCATTTCCCTTCTCTGGCTCATGGCTGATAGAGTCATTGGAGAGTTCTGAATAGGAGGGGAGTTCACCATTCACACCCACTGGAAATCTCATCACAGTGTAGCCCTGTTCCTCTTGTCACAATATTAATAAAGGTTGAAGCCCACCCAGTACTGTGCTTACCGACTTCATCTTAACTGAAGATTCTTCTTTCATTACTTCTTGCTTCTTTTCCCCTTGTCTAAGGGCTCCTGACTCTTACCCTTCCTTTCCTCTGGTTTGTTTTTACATTAAGGGCTTCTTTTCTTCCCTGGGAAGGAAGACACCATTCATAATCAGAATCAGCTGGTTTCTAACCTTCATTTTAAATTTTGGTTATGTTCAGGGATAGCTCACTTATCAAAAACAGGGAATGGGTTTAGTTTTTCTGTCAGAAACTTCTGGCCCAAGAGGGCAACTCTTGCTGGCAGTGACAGAAATGGAGGCATATACCTAGAAATGCATTGCAAGGGGTTTCCCAAAACTTCATAGTGTTTAAATCATGAATAAATGCATAATAATTACAGTTTGCTTAAAAATGGGTCTTTTGACCACTCCCAGTTCTTTCTACCTCCTCCAGCTAGAGGCTGCTGCCTGCCTTTTGGAGAGCCCAGTGGAACTGAGGACCTTACAGGAGGACAATGTGCTCACCCCTGCTGCTCTGTTACAGATGCTTGAAAGGGCTCTGGAGGACCAGTCAGGGGATTTTGCTGCCCATCCCAGAGGAAGGTTTCAAATGTACTTGTGCCAGACTGGTTTCGAGGGAGAGAGTTAGCTGCAGGCCTTCAGTCTTCCAGCCTTTAGCTCTGGGAAGGAATCAAAGAGGCATCCCTCCAGTCTGCTTGGGTCGCTGGGGATTGCTGCTAGGGATCCAAAAGGACCAAATGGGAACCACAGACTTCTTGGAATGCGGCAGATCCCAGCCACCCCTTGGGGAAATATATTTATTTTTAACTCGCTCAGGAGGTAGGTGAGCCAGCAGCCTTTACAGTCTTAACACTTATTATTGTCTTAGAGTATTTTCTCTTTCCACTTCGAGCCTGGTTTGATTTTTATCAGCTGATCTCTTCCAATCCACTTGAGTTGGAAGCTGTGCACCTCCTCTCCCTTTCTTTTTTTTCCTCCCTCCCTCCCTTCCTTCCTTTCCCTTCCCTCCCTCCCTCCCTCCCTTCCTTCTTCCTCCTCCTCCTTCTTCTTCTTCTTCTTCTCCTTCTCCTTCTTCTTCCTGCAACACTTTCAGATTCTTTCTGAAGCATTCACCTATCTTTTGTGATTCCTTAGGTTGGGACTCTGAAGAGGTAAAATAACCATATCAAATATGAAGCTAATTTAATAACAGTCCTTTTTATAGAGTGGAGGCCCTAACCATAAACACTTGATGGTACTTTCCTAAATGGATATGGTCAGTCAGTCCTAGAGGCAGAAGGGTAAACTGGGGACTCCTCAGCTGCAGCTGACGTCCTGATATGAGTCCATCGGTTTGGGACTGGCAATTTCCACTGACCGAGGGAGCTTGGGATGAAAATACCACCAGAAACACTGGAACTAAATTTAACTGGAAGAAATGTAAAGTCCTGCATCAAAGTTAAAAAAAAAAAAAAAAAAAAAAAAGGTTGCAGAATGGCATAGATAGTAATCCATGTGAAAAAATGGACTCGAGTTGACTGTAAGCCCACTAGGAATGAAAACTGTGACCTTAGGAATAGGGGTGGCATTGCTAAGAAAGGTAATGCCATCTTGGGTTTCATTCCTAGAAGTGTAGTGTGCCACTCAGCGAAGTAATGCTCCCTTTGGCCTGGTCTCCACTGACGCATTAGATTCCGTTCCCACTGCCACGTTGTCCGGGGACACTGGCAAGCCAGAGAGCCTGATGGTTTTGAGAGGCGTCTGTCTGGAAACTGTGTCATGAGGAATGGCTGAAGAGCTTGGGGCCATTTAGCCCGGATAGAAGACCTGGGGAGTACATGAGAGTCTTCAAAGATTTTAGGTGCTGTTAGGGGCAAAACTGGCAAGATTTCGGAGTCTGAGACAAAACTTTTTAACAATCAGGGATGTTCAATAGTAAAATAAGCTGACTCGAAAGAATAGTGAGAACCCATTCTTAAAGGTATGCAAGCAAAGCTGAAAGTAAGCCTGTAGAATGTTGTGAGGTTGGGAGTTGGGTGATAGTGTCTCCAAGATCCTTTGCATTTCACATTTCTGTTACTTTAGGTTTGTGTTTTTTAGACCATGGTGTGTGTACCCTTGAGATTTGTGGTAATGTGCAAAGGAATATACTTAGGGCATTTTCCTGGGTCCTCAATTTTATGAGACATTAGAATTTCTTAGACATTCAGAAGACATTTTTAAAATTTTTGTTTTATTTAAGTTCAATGAATTAACATATAGTGTAGTGTTGTTTTCAGAGGTAGAGTTCAGTGATTCATCAGTTGCATATAGCATCGGGTGCTCATTACAAGAAGACATTTTTAGATTAAAATAAATAGATACATTGTAAAGAAAACTTGAAAGTTTGCAAGAATAGGGGCCCTCAAGGAATGTCCAGGTGCAGTAATCCTGGTGTATATTTGCTCTCTCCTGGTTATTAGGAAGGATTATGTTTGTGAAAATGTCTGAGACCTTTTCCCCTAGTGGATTATATTCCCCAGAAAAAGAAGTGAGACCAGGGATGATCCTGGAGTCCTCGTACAAATTAAATGAAAAGGACCACAAAAGGGAGGACGTTTGAAATACTGACTTGAATAGGCTCTCTGGCTAAGAAGGGGCACCAGCAATGGTGCCCAGCCTATGGGAAGGATTCAGGCAGAGAACCCCATAGGGGTTCAACCCCATAGGGATGATGCCCAGGGGACAGAGGAGGGTTTCATCATATCCACTCCCAGCTTGAATCTGTATTTGTTGTGTTTGTTTGTTTTTTTTCCCCTAGAAATTGGTCCACAATGTGCATAACCACATCACCAATGACAAGAGATTCAATGGGTCTGAAAGGTATGATCCCCTTGAGGGAAAAGAATCACAGGGTACTCTGCCTCTTCCCCGGAGGGCAGTAGAGGGTTACTCCAGTGTAACAGTGAGGCTAAGGTTGCCCCCTGCATCCTGTCCTTGGCCATGGGGGAGTTTATCTCAAAGTTGATTTGTGCCAGGAATCTCTGTCTGGCTTTTAAAATGCTGACTGCCTCGTTCCTGATCTTTTTTGTGGCAGCATCAAGTCCTCTTGGAATATTTCAGTAGTGAAGTTCCTTCTGGAGAAGCTCAAGCAGGAGCTGGTGACCAGTCCCCACAATTACACTGATAAGGAACTGAAAGGTGAGAAAAATTGAATTAACCCCCATCCTTTTTCCACTCACTGTTCTTGGTCAGAGAAGAGTTGTAATGGAGGCGATTTTGAAAATAGTGGACTTAAAACATTGTTTTTGGCTATTCTCACATCTTTACAGGATTGTTTCTCTTCCTTTCTTTCTTTGAGAGAGAGGGAGAGATTGAGTGGGATGGGGGAGAGGGAGAAAATCCCAAACAGACTCATTGCTGAGCACAGAGCCCCAACACGGCTTGATTCCGGACACTGAGAGCACAACCTGAGCCAAAACCAAGTCGGAAGGTCAGCAGACCTTCCAAGCTGCCCAAGTGTCCCTTTTTCTTTCTTTCTTTTTAAAAAATATTTATTTATTTTAATAATTGAATATTTAATTTAAATATTTATTTATTTATTTATTTTAATATTTATTGGGGAAAGAGAGAGAGAGTGCAAGTAAGGGCAAGAGCAGAGAGAGACTCCCCACTGAACATAGAGCTGACTCGGGGCTCCATCTCAAGACCCTGAGATCATGACCTGAGCCCAAATTACTCAACCGACTGAGCCACCTAGGCACCCCAGGATTGTTTCTAATTGCCTTTTTATTCCTCTATCCCACTTGAAATGAAAATAGGAGAAGGAAAGGACTAACACCAGCAGGAATGATATTTCCACAGGGCCTGAATCTAGGGCATTACAAAAAGGAAGTCAGAATCCAGGCCTGCCCTTTTGTCCCTAAATATTACATCCTGGGTTTTCTACTTTCCTTACTCTTCTCTTATTTGCCCATAGCTAACCCTGCAGCATTAAGAAAGCTTCTGCTGAAAAACTGCTGGTAATCCACTACCGGAAGAGTAGAATAGGGATGGGTTTGATTGATCAAGCCCAGGTCGGGGGAGGAAGCTACAGAGCTTGGACTTGTTGAGTGCCAGTGGGAGATATGGGGGGAGTCAGTGCTGGACAGGGAGGTGAGCAGAGACAGCCAAACCAAAGAGGAGTAAATAGATGCTGATGAGTCTGTGAGAAAACCCACCGTCCAGAGTGATTCTCACCTTCCCAGCCAGTAGTATTAGGGCAGAAAAAAAAGGGCTGAGGACCTGCTCTCTGCCTCCTCCCATTTCCTTCCTCACCAGGAGCCTGTGTAGCCTACTTCCTTACTAAGAGGCGTGAGTACCGCAACTCCCTGAACCCCTTTAAAGGCCTGAAGGAAAAAGAGGAGAAGAAGCTTCGAAGTCGCAGATACCGGGTAGGTTTCTAGGCCTTCCTTTCAAGATACTAAACACTAAACCCTACTAAGCTGCAGTGGGACGGGCCAAAGGACATGGCATCTGAGGATAGGGTTGAGATCCAGGAATGTTGGCAGATAGAGGAGGGGGGGGCAGTTCTAAGATGACTTGGGGGCTAGGTTCTCTCAGACACAGATTTTATACGGCCTTCTTCCTACGAGAACCCTCTTCCCAAATCTAATCCACAGTTTGTTTCTCTTCCTGTCTCTACCCTGGGCTCCTTCCTTAGCTTTTTGCCAACCGATCCAGCATCATGAGACATTTTGGACCTGAGGACCAACGCCTGTGGAAGGATGTGACAGAGGAGCTGATGTCAGATGAAGAGGACAGTCTTAATGAGCCAGGTGTCTGGGTGGCCCGGCCTCCCCGGTTCCGGGCCCAGCGCCTCACGGAGCTCTGCTACCACCTGGATGCCAATTCTAAGCATGGCACTAAAGCCAACCGTGTGTATGGGCCTCCCTCAGACCGATTACCTTCTGCTGAGGCCCAGCTCCTTCCACCAGAACTTTATAATCCTCATTTCCAAGAAGAGGAAGACGAGGGAGGTGATGAGAATGGACCTGTCTCCCCATCTTTCGACCAACCCCACAAAACCTGCTGTCCTGACTTGAACTCATTCATTGAAATCAAGGTGGAAAAGGATGAATGAAATCTATAACCAAGAATAACTCTGGATTCTGCCATTCCCCATGTCCCAGGAATGGGACTTCCCAGAATAACAAGATGTCCTCTGCAGTCTGTCTCTCTTCTCACCACAGTCCCCAGTGGAAGTGAAGCTGGCAGCTGTGGTGGGATAAAAAGACTTACCTAGGAGGGGGACCTCCCTGCTCCCTGTGAATGGCAAGCCAGAAAATGCTTATTTCTAAGCACACACAGTGCCTCGGGGAGCCTGGGCTGAGAAAAGGAGGAGGATGAGTCTAAGAAACATGAGGCCTTCTTGACATATGCCCCATCTTGGAGTTTTTTTGTTTTTTTTTTTTGTTTTTTCTGGTTTCACTGAAATCTCGGGGAAGCTACCCTGGTTGCACATTCTGCTTCCCCCTGACTGCTTGTTTGGCTCTGCGGTGGCTGCAGCCTTGGACCAGGCTGGGGTCCTACTGCCCCCTGGTGGGCAGTTCCGTCATGGGCTGGAGTCTTCTGAGCACCACTCCATTCCTATTTGGGAATTGGGAGACTAATATAATAGCTGCTGTTTATTGAATTATGTAAGGCAGATTTTATTATTCCCATCTTCCACATGAAGAAATTAAAGCCTAAAGAGTTCCATGTCCCACTGGAAGCTGCTGTCCCCCTGTGTGACCCAGCGGTATAGGGGGCTTTGTAGGTATTTTCTTTGTCGTGTCAGCCAAGCTGTATTTCAAGGAAGGGGTGAGTGTGTGTGTGTGTGCGTGCACATGCATGAACGTGTGCACACACTCTCGCTGATGCACACACACACACACACACACACACTTGCATACAAACTTTGTGCCTGATGAATGGAATGTGAAGTAAAAATGGCTTTCTGTTCAGTCAGTCATACAACAAATACTGATTACTTCCTAGGTGTCAGGTACTGTGTTAGGTGTTGTGGGTACCCTGTGGAGCAGGTCAGATGCTGATTAGAGGTTTCATTATCTAATCAGGGAGCCAGGCAGTTAAGTATACAGTGAAATGAACTGCGATAAGGGTGATGATGGGGGAGTGTAAGGGGCAGCTGCAGCAGACAGCAGGGCTGGCTGACCTATTCTGGGGGTCTGGAAAGGCTTCTCAGAGAGTGGCGCTTAGACTGGCACCTGAAAGATGGTGAGGCATGAACCAGAGGGTAAGGGTAGGCCGGGAGTCTTCCAAACAAGGGAATAGCAAGGACGAAAGTCCAGAGGCAAGAGAGAGCACAGAGGAGTTGCCATCGTCCTGCAGAACAGTTTGAGGAGGGGCTGGTGCATAGAGAAGCTGGAGAGACACAGAGACCTCGTCAGGTATCTTAAAGAATATAGACTTTAGTTCGAAGGCAGTGAGAAATCATTCAAAGGTGGCTGGCAGGGAAATGAGATGATCAGTTTTGTGTTTGAGAATAATCCCTTGTCCTCGGTAGGAGATGGATGGCAGGGAGGAACCCGGGCCTGGGTGTGGGGCTGCTGGGGGGGTATTCTGCAGTGGCTCAGGAGAGGAGACAGCTGGTCAGAAAGTGATGGTGAGAGGAGGACAGATTTGGAAGTTATTTAAGAAGCTGAACTGAGAGGATTTGGTGACTGACAGGCTTGGTGATGAGAGTTGGTTGGACCTGAGATGGAGGGAGGAGGACAGAGGTTGGTGTTCCTGTTTCGGGCTTAAGCAGCTAAGTGTGTAATGGTGCCATTTCTTCAGGGGACGCTGGGGGAGCCAGTTTTGCGAGGCAGGGAAGGTGAAGTCAGTTGAGAGTGTTGTATGCCTTTGAGACAGCCAAGTAGAGATGCTAGTGGTCGGCTGAGTTTTTAAGTCTAAGACAGTCTGGGCTAAGGGGTGCCTTGCTGGCCCAGTCAATGGAGGCATGCAACTCTTGATCTCAGGGTCACGAGTTCAAGCCCCAGGCTGGGCGTAGAGCTTACTTATAAAAGAAAAAAATGTCTGGGCTAGAAATAAGGATTTGGGAGCCATCTGTGTACACAGTTCATAATTCAAGTCTTGAGGAGAGAGAACAAGGCCTGCGGAGCTCCCGGCTCTAGTCAAGACTACGGAACGGTTATCCTGAGGTCCTAAGCACTCTGGAGCGTGCCTTCAGTGCTTCCTTCCGCCCCTTCACTTGTCTCTGGTTCTTGTTATCCCCTGAAAACACAGGTGGTTGGTCCCAGCTGTGCCCATTGCTGCCACCACCAGCTCCCACAGGGGCTTCCTTTAAAGGCTTCTCAACTTTTCCTAAGGTTCACTCTCCCATCCCCACTCCAAAGTGGGAAAGCTTCCAAATATAAGAGGCTCTGTGGATATTTTGATTGTAAGTAGTAGGAAGGAAGAATCCAAGTTCTCTTTCCCCATCTGGAGACAGGAAAGGCAGGAGATGTCACAGCGGGTTCTGGATGCAACCTGATAGCCCCTCTCTGTTACTAATGCTTTCAGTGTTCCCTGCTTCTAGTCTGATACTGAACTCTCCTCTGGATCAGAGAAAAGCTGTAGGCCTGACAGGGAAAGAGCGAGGCTGGTTCTCCAGAGAGATGAGGTCAGGGAGACAATGCAGCTAGGACAAAGAAGCCAAATAGTTTGTGCCAAATTAATTTCCCCAAAGATATTAACTTCCTTTGCTTCCCCATTCCCTAAGGCTACACTAAGATTATGAAAGGTGTTCAAAATGTTGAAATGAAAATAATATGCATGATTTGTTTGCATATAATTTTCATGCTCATTTACTATCTAAATACAAAGGAATCATTTCCTTCCCCATTCTACCTCCTCTACCCCTTGCCCCTGATATGCTAGTCAGGGCAAAATCAGTTGCACTGGTATTTAATTAGACACGTTTAGCTTCAGCCACCTTTTCTTCCTTTCCTTATTCTTCATTTTACCAGTATGTCCAACACTAGAAGCCGCCTCTTTCCCTTTTCCACCCTGATCATTTTCACTTGCTAGATCGTCTAAATGACATTTCCTTTCTTCCTTTTTAATGCTTACCCTTTATCACAATCTCCTGTGGGCCCACCAACGGGAAGGCGTCCGCTAGCCCTAACACCAGGCCTCCCATCCCCCTTGTCGCCTGAGAGAGTTGCTAAAAATCTCTTTTCCCAACACCAGACACCAGGGGGTGTCTTCTAGTCCTCTATCTGTCCTACCCGGACGGTAGAGATGAGTCCCAACCCTCTTCCTCACTCTTTTTGCATAGACACTAAAGTTCCTTCCCTCCCTACCGTCGCAGAGCTTTGGGTTCAGAAAGTGGTGTCCTTTTATTGCAATTTATCTGTTGGGCTCTCATTCTGTCTGGACTTGCACAAATCTGCCTTTTCCTCAGTCTGCTCAACCTTCGGTCTGCGCACCACCCACGATTTCCTCCCTGTGCTCCAGCTCCCGCTTTCTTTCGCTACCTGTCTTCCACCACTTCTCTACGTGGGCTTCCTCGCCCTTCTGGGCTCTTCCCATTACGTGTCTCTGACCGCTTTATGTATCTACCTTTCTCCCTGACCCCCTCTTTGGGGGTCTCATTACTTCTGTGCCGGTCTCTCTTCATCTCTCCCACAGTCCCCACAGTAGGAACAAAGTCACGATGTTTGCGCAGAACATGCCTCGCGTCGCCCCGTCCCGGACCGCGACATTCCACCGTGCCCCTCCGCGCATTCCAACTGCGAACAAAGAGTTCCTTTCCCCCTCCCCCACTTTTCCCGGTCCCACTTCCTTAGAGATGTAGTAGCAGCTGCCCAAACTGCCCCTCAGCCTCCCCTCGCCTCCGGTCGGCGGGTCTCCACCTCCAGGGCCAGTTAGCACCAGCACCAGCACCACCCTCCCCCTCCGGCGCACCAGAGATCCCTGCGCAGGCACCCCCGTTCCTCTCGCACACAGCGCTCCGCCCCTCCCGGAAAGTAGATCCGGCCAGGCAGACAAAAGTTTGGGAGAGAAGTTCGGTCTGTGCTGAGTGTGAGAGCGAGGGGGGCGGGGGCCGGGGGCCGGGGAGAGTGGGGCGGCCCGGCGAGTGGACGCGTGAACAGACTGACCTGCGGACGGGACAGCCGCGGCCGTAGGCCCTTCTAGCCCCGCTTAACCCCTGATGCGCGGGGGGAAGCAGCCCCTCTCCCTGGGGGATGCTGCGGAATTCCCGGCGCCGGGCATCTGGGCCACCCGCTAACCCCCTGTGCCTACCCCGTGCCCCCGGAGAACCGGAGTCCGGCCGCTGGGAAAGAGAAGCGGCCGCCGAGAAGCTGCAGGGTGCCCGGCGGGGAGGGGGCTGGAGGCCCCAGGCCCGAGGGCATGGAGCGGTTAGGGGAGAAAGCCAGTCGCCTGCTGGAGAAGTTAAGGCTCTCCGACTCCGGCAGCGCCAAGTTCGGCCGCAGAAAGGGTGAATCTAGCCGGTCTGGGTCTGATGGGACCCCCGGGCCGGGCAAGGGACGCCTGAGTGGGTTGGGGGGGCCTAGGAAATCAGGGCCCCGTGGAGCTACTGGGGGACCTGGGGATGAGCCGTTGGAGCCAGCCGGGGAGCAGGGCCCCCTGGACGCTGAGCGGAACCCGCGCGGCTCCTTTGAGGCGCAGCGCTATGAAGGCTCCTTCCCCGGGGGGCCGCCTCCCACCCGGGCCTTGCCTCTACCTCAGTCATTGCCCCCCGACTTTCGGCTGGAGACCACGGCCCCAGCTCTAAGCCCACGCTCCAGTTTCGCCAGTAGCTCAGCCAGCGACGCCAGCAAGCCGTCCAGCCCCCGGGGTAGCCTGCTGCTGGACGGGGCGGGGGCAGGCGGAGCCGGAGGTAGCCGACCCTGCAGCAATCGCACCAGCGGCATCAGCATGGGCTACGACCAGCGCCACGGCAGCCCCCTGCCCGCCGGGCCCTGTCTGTTTGGCCCACCCTTGGCTGGGGCCCCAGCGGGGTATTCCCCTGGAGGGGTGCCGTCCGCCTACCCGGAGCTCCACGCCGCCCTGGACCGATTGTGTGCTCACCGGCCCGCGGGGTTCGGCTGCCAGGAAAGCCGCCACTCCTATCCCCCGGCCCTGGGCAGCCCCGGAGCTCTAGCCGGGGCCGGAGTGGGAGCGGCAGGGCCCTTGGAGAGACGCGGGGCGCAACCCGGACGACACTCAGTGACCGGCTACGGGGACTGCGCCGCGGGCGCCCGATACCAGGATGAGCTAACAGCGTTGCTGCGCCTGACGGTGGGCACGGGTGGGCGAGAAGCCGGCGCCCGCGGGGAACCCTCGGGGATTGAGCCGTCGGGTCTCGAGGAGCCACCAGGTCCTTTCGTTCCAGAGGCCGCCCGGGCCCGGATGCGGGAGCCGGAGGCCAGAGAGGATTACTTCGGTGAGTGAAATAAGTGGTTAGGGATGGGACAGGACGGGACCCATCACCGTCTTCCTTTCCTCACTGCCCCGACGGCCCAAATTGCCGGCGCCGGGAAGTCGGAGGCGGAGACGCGGAGCTAGAAGAGAGGCAAGAGGGATTTCCCCTTCCCACCAGGTCTCAAATGGACCGTGGGCTCATTCCTGCTACACTCAACCCCCTGATTATCTCGTGAGTCCCAGTTGAAGCTTTGGAGCTTCCGTTTTTCGCGGTAGGAGGCCTCGTGGGGAGGGGACCAAGTGGGGAGTGAGAGCATCTCCCCATCCTGCTCCCCCCTTGGCGGCGGTGCCCCGGCAGGCTTCTGCGCGCCGCGCCCCTACCCGGGCCCAAGCTCCGCCCGCAGGAATTCGGGGAATGCGCGGGTGGGGGGCGGGGCGGGCGGGCCGCGTGCGTGCCGGCTCCTGCCCGGGCGCTCCAGGTACCCGCGGGCGGGGCCGGCCGCGCGGCGCGGGGCGGAGGGTGGGGTGAGGTGGGGCGGGGTGGGGGGGTGCTGCTTGCTAACACTCGCGGAGCTGTGGCAGCGCCCGGGGAAGTGGAGCCTGGGAGAGAGGGTGAAGCTCTCGGGGACGGAAAGCAGGGATCCTGCTGTTAGCTTGTCCCAGTCATGCTGGCTTGTTGCGTGCCTGAGCATTTAAGCAGAGACCTGGTGGTGGTCTCCTATTTACCCCATCCTCCGGGGGAGTCAGGGCAGAAGCCATGACCTCCTGGAAACTAGCATCCCTAGCAGGTTAACGACCTTGTGTAACTGCCAGAAATAACCTGGCCTTCGGTTTGGGCCACAACCTGCTCAGAATTCAGGCTAGAAACAGCACGTTATTTTCTGCCTCTGTTAAGGAAACCTGGTCGCTCTGTCTCTCACACGCAATTACCTTTAAGGAGTCTTTTTTTTTTTTTTTTTAAGATTTTATTTATTTATTTGACAGCGAGAGAGAGAGAGAGAGAGAGAGAGAGAGAACACAAGCAAGGGGAATGAGAGAGGGAGCGGGGAGCCCCAGCCCAATGTGGGGCTCGACCCAGGTCCTTGAGATCATGACGGAGCCCAAGGCAGAGGCTTAACGACTGAGCCACCCAGGCACCCCACGTTTAAGGAGTCTTGATTGATAATATGTCTCAGCTACCAGGGGATATTAGGATCTTGAAGGATCTTTTTAGCTAAGACCCACAGCCACCAATTTGTTATAGAAAGAAATGCTAATGCAGTGGGAAGAAAAACAATGGAAGGCCTTGGGCTTATCCTCTCCTTTCCCATCATCATTCATGTTCCTGCCCTGGACCCAGTGCCCTAGACCACCTCTATGGCTAGAAATGTGGCTAGAAATGTAAACAGGGAGAGGAACCTAGCCCAGGAGGGCAGATTGAGGCAGAAGTTGAGAGGTAGCAGGGCGGAAAGGGCCCTTCCTGCCCGGTTCAACCCCCATCCTCCCATCCTAAGAGAGGAAAGCCTAGAGTAGATGATGCTTTGGTTAAGGGAGACTGAGTGACAGGATCCTTTTAGCAGTTCTTTTGGGGCCCATAAGAAGTGGCGGTTGAGTGGAAGGAAGTCTCTTTGGCCAAGCCATCAGAGTGAGAAGGAAGAAATGAGCTTGGACAGAGTGCAATAAAAGGGCAGGGAGAACCTAGGCGTGGATATGCTGGGTTAGAGGAGGCCAGGCGGGCATGCCTGAGCAGTTTGCGCCTGTCTTCCCATAATGTCCAGGGCTTCCTAAAGAAATGGTTCTGATGGGTCCCCCCCTGGCATGGCAATCTTGGTTCACTCTTTTGGGCATTTTGACCCCAGAAGTAGAGGCTGCTTCTCCCCGAGAGTTAGGTTGTCTCCTCTGACAGAATTCCCAGCGTGACTGTACCCTTCTACTTGGCCCCTAGTTAGGGGCCCTCTTCCTTGGCTACAGCCTTGCCCAGCTGCCAGAGGGTGGGAACAGGACAGGCCTGGGCCCATCAGTCACTGCAGCTGCCGCACGGGCTCCGAAGCCCCTGGGCAAAGACTGGGATGGGCCCCAGCAGGCAAGGAGTATGGCAGTGTGCCGAGGGGGAGAGGTGGGGCGGGGTGAGGCGGGCCCCGTTGGGATCTGCTCCCCAAAGACAGGCCCTAGCCCTCACTCATGGGCCTGGAATTGGGGAGTGGAGGGAGGAAAGAACACACCCAGGAAAGGCGGGTGCCAGAGCCAGGTGTATGTATTTGGCAGGGGTGGGGGGTAGGGGGCTGTCAGGGAAGAACAGTTCAGCTCTATCCATCCCATGATAGATTTCAGGGAGACCTTAGGGATTCTGTCACCCTTCCCCCACCTTCCCGTGCAACCTCCAGACCCTGGAACACACCCTACATTCTTAGCAGCCACCTCCCCACAGGAGTCATGCTCACATGGTCCGCTCTGCCCAGGGCCCTCTGCTGAGCCATATCCTTCTTTCCATCCTTGGAAGCCTCGAGGTGTGGAGCAGTAAGAAGTCATTTTGTAGCTATATGGCAGCTCATTTTACAGATGGGGAAACTGAGGTCCCAGAGAGGCTGTCTAGGCCTGGCCTGCTTTCTCTGGGAGTCTGCTCCTGGGCCATGATGGACTGGCATCTCTCTTTGTCCTACACAGTGCAACAGGGGTCATACCCTTGACTGTTAGTCTTGTCTCCCTGACAGAATCTGCACATTTGAAAGTCAAGGATCATATCTTTGACTCTCTCCAATTTTGCACAGTATCAGGCACCATATTTTTGCTAGGCACAAAATAGATGCTCAGAAAATATCTGTTGATTAATCAGTAAACAATGATGGGTCTGCTCAGCCAAGACCATGTCGCATCCCATTTCTTGTTCTCCTCTCTTCCCAGGAGAGAGCCCGTGAAAGGAAGGCTGGGACTGGTGGTCCTCTGGAACAATCAGGAAAGAGCAGTCAGGAAAGATCCCAAATCCCTATTTTGAGCTGGGGGTATGTGGGATATGATGCTGACAACCTCTTCTCTCCCCTCAGGCACCTGTATTAAGTGCAACAAAGGCATCTATGGGCAGAGCAACGCCTGCAAGGCCCTGGACAGCCTCTACCACACCCAGTGCTTTGTCTGCTGCTCCTGTGGTGAGTGTATCCCCTAGGCCTTGTGCAGGGGGCGGGCTGAGGCCTCAAGCATGCCCCACACTCATACACCCTCAGGAGTGCCTAGGGAAAGCAGAGCTTGTGCCTCTTCGGGTCCGCCCCACCCTCATTTGTCTGGATGCCCACTGTTGCCCGCCTTCCCTCCTCTGCTATACCTGGCTCTCCAGCCCCCATATTGCGTCTGCGTTCTGGAGTCAGCCCTCCCTTCCTCCATTGAGCCTCTTTTCCTCCTCTCTGTTCCTCCCTCTTTCTTCTGCTTCCTTGCTTGCCCAGCCTGGACTCCAGCCCAGCCTCGGCCTCTCCTTGGTGGGGTTTGGTCCTGGGCAGTCTGAGTTGCCTGGGGCGACAGTGAAAGACTGGAATGTGGGAAGGGTGGGGGTGGGCTGGGGGAGTGGGGAGCCATGGGGGGCGGAGAGAGGGGTTTTCTCTTGGCTGGTCAGAGTTCAGCCACCTCGCTGGAGTGCAGGCCACAGGGCCATGCCAAGCTGATGACATCACGCTCCAGGAATGCCCGCCACTGTTAGCTCAGGAGGCCCGCCTGGGTGGGGGGTGCTCCCAGCAGCCTTAACTCCCCAGCCCTTCCCTCACCTCCCTCATTACCCCTCCCCACTGCTTGCCCACTCTTGATTCCTTTGCTAAACCTTTAATCTCTTATCTCTGCCTGTCTGACTCCAGCACTCAGCTTTTCTGTGCCCCTACTCCAGCCACCACCACCACCGCCAGCCCCCACCTCTGGCTGGTTCTCTTGGGTTCATCCATCTGTCTTGTGTATAGGGCCTTTTCTGGGTGTGTCTCTTTCCCTCTCTGTACCCCCACTGTGTCTCCTGAGTCTCTAAGTCAGCTTTTCCAAACTTCTGGTAGGAGGTAGAAGAGATTTTGATCAGAAGAGGGCAGAGGAGGTGGCCAACTCGCCCCTTTCTCCACCTTGGGTCTCACTCCTCCCCTCTCCCTGACAATTTAGATACCTTGGAGCAGTTCCTAAGTGTTGGTCACATGCCTTGTCAGCTCACAGAAGATCCTGGATTCTCTGGGTTTCTCTGTGCTTGGGGGAGCTGCCTTGTGCAGCGGGAAAGGGAACTGACTTTGCTCCCGAGAAGAGCACTTTGTCCCCAACAGTAATGCCAATATTTCCTGATCTCTGCTGAGCCTGTCCCTGGAAGAAGACGGACAGGGCTAGGATAGCAGGAAGGCTATACACAGGCAAAGAGGTCCCTAGATTGAAAGGTCCCAGAGGGCAAGGTCCATAACAATGCGACCACCTCCATGGGCATTGTACAGTACCTTATTCCCAGCTCCTTTACCTTGTACCCCAGCCTGGGGTTGGCTCCCCCAACCCCCACCCCTGGGTGACTCCCTGTGCCCTGGAGAGGAAGGCATTCATTGAGGGAGGGCAGGATCTTAGAAAACTGTTGAGGCGAGAACTGGAGGAACAGCGAGCAGAGAGGGGAAGTTTGCAGGAATGAGACCAAAGTAAATTGGAATCGCATCAGATAGGATTTTTGTGTAGAGAGGGAGGACACACAGCAGTGAGGAGCACTGGCACTAAGGTCCAGATTAAATATGTCATCCTACATTGGAGAGCAGTGTTCCTGGGGCGGGGACGCCCTGTACGTGGACACTGGGATGGCTCCAGTCTCTTGTCTGTTGCTCCTAGGGCGAACTTTGCGCTGCAAGGCTTTCTACAGCGTCAATGGCTCCGTGTACTGTGAGGAAGATTATCTGGTGAGTGAGGGGTCCCCTGGGCCTGGAATTGGCTCCCATACTGGGACCTTTCTTGGTGGCCCATTGGGGTTGCACCCATCAGGTCCTTCTCTGCTTATAATATCCTCCCTTGTTCTTTCTCTCTCCCTAGTTTTCAGGGTTTCAGGAGGCAGCTGAGAAATGCTGTGTCTGTGGTCACTTGATTTTGGAGAAGGTAAGCAAAGTATCTTCAACTGTGACTCTCTGTGAGGCTGAGCAACTGAGGGGTAGAACCAGGGGCTAAGTGGGTACTGAGAAAAGGGGGAGGGAGGAACTCCATCACTACGAGTGGCTTTCCTCTCATTCTTCCCCAGAGCAGCTATTTGTAATGCCTTCCCGCTGCTGGTTGGATCAGCACCCCTAATCCTGCCATCCCCACAGCCTCTGTGATCTGGTCCCTGCCTACTCCTGCAGTCACAGCCAAGCTAGGAGTGTGGGGTCCCAGGTCTTAATCCCCTTCCTGCTACTGGCTGGGATCAGTTAGAACTCAGGGTTGTTGTTTTTCCGTAAGCAGGGGGAATAGGATTAGAGCAGTGGTCAAGCCTAGCAGATCACCTGGGAAGAAGTAAAGAAAATAACCAGTGCCTGGGTTGTCATCGGAGACTGTGATGAAAACCTCTGGGGTGAGGCCCAGGCACTGATGGGTTTTACAAGCTCCCTGGGTGAGAACCACTGGCCTGGATGCTAAGACTGTGTTCAAAGTTTCTGCCTCTATTTTAAGCATCCTCTGGGCCCCTCAGATTACAGAGCATTGTTCTTGGAGGAGAGTGGGGAGTTGGAGGAGTTTGGGGGAGCTGCAGGGAGCACCACGGGTAGCTGGAGAATGAGACTGGAGGGAGACTGATTGTCTTCCCACCCCGTGAGCCAGATTCTGCAGGCCGTGGGGAAGTCGTACCACCCGGGCTGCTTCCGGTGCATCGTTTGCAACAAGTGTCTGGACGGCATCCCCTTCACTGTGGACTTCTCCAACCAGGTGTACTGCGTCACTGACTACCACAAGTGAGTCTGCCCCCTAGGGGTGTGGTGTGGGACTGGCCTCAGGGTTCCCCAGCCTCAACTGTCTCTGCCCTCTCTTCTTCAGAAATTACGCTCCTAAGTGTGCGGCCTGCGGCCAACCCATCCTCCCATCAGAGGTCAGTATGCCGGGGTTCTCTTGTGGGGCAGCCAGTGCTGCTGCCCCTGGGAAGGGGGTGGGGACATATGGGCCCGGCTTCCCGCGGGAGGCGGTGGTGTTGAGGAATGTGCTCTGCGAAGATTCCCGTGTGACTCTGCTCTCAGGGTCACCACCCTGACCCTGACATCCGGGCCTGGACATTTCTGACAGCCTCACTGGGTCCAGGCTTCATCCTGTCTGTCCCAGTCCATAGAAGGAGACTTTTCTTTTGAGGTCAAGTCAGCAGATCCCAGATGTAGGGGCTAGAAAAAGGTGGGAAGAATCCTCAGGTCTGGTAGGAAGATGTCAGCAATGATTTATTCTGTGTGTGCTACGTGTTGGCCTGGGGAGAGAATCTGAAAGCCAATAAGGAACCAGACCCTACTGGAACTCCTTGTCCCCAGCTTAGCTTACTTTGCTTAGACTGCCGGCCTCTTTTCCCTCCCCACAGCTCGGAGAGGTAGGTAAGGCCAGAGCTGCTGGACAGAGGGAAAACTGTGAGAGGACAGGCCTTCCTGGAGGCAGTATCAAGGAAGGGGAGGGAGGAAAGTTCTAGTAGGATTTCCAAAGGCCATCTGAAAGCTACAGGTGATTGCAGAGAGTTCTCCCTGGAGGCCTTTGAATGATCTTCGCATTGGGCTGGGAAGGAGCCCAGAGGAGGGCAGAACTGGGGTTGTCATGCTACACTCATCCCATGGGGGCCTGCATCATTTCAGGGCTGTGAGGACATTGTGAGGGTGATATCCATGGACCGAGATTATCACTTTGAGTGCTACCACTGTGAGGTGAGTGTGAGGAGCCAGGGCTCCTGGAGGAGAATCTGGAGAGGGAATGGGGCTGGGGAGGAGGCATGTCCCTGGACTGCTCAAGTCTGTGGGAGCAGTCTACAGCGTGGAAACCAGGAAGGTGCTCCAACCCATCTCCAGTATCTCTGCCATCCTTCATCCACTCTGTCTGGTCCTGGGTGTTTAGTCCTTTCTGCATCTGGCTTTCCCCAAGGCAAGCCTGAACTGGGGACTCCTGGTAACCACTGCAAATGGGAGTCCGCCTCATTATTTCCGCTGTAGCAGCGACACCTGCTGTCCAGCTGAGGTATTTTCTCGGGCTTCTACTCGGAGGCCATCGCCTTCAACCAACCCCACCACCTTTCTTCCAGTCTACTAGGAGGCTGGTGTGGATCAGCACAGTCTCCCAACATGTCCCAGTGCCCGGGCTGAGGTGAACTAGGTGTCCTTCTTTCCTAGGACTGCCGGATGCAGCTGAGTGATGAGGAAGGCTGCTGCTGCTTCCCTCTGGATGGGCACTTGCTCTGCCACGGCTGTCACATGCAGCGGCTCAGTACCCGACAGCCCCCTGCCAGTTATATCTGAACTGTGGTCTGTGCTGCTGCCTTTGCTGCCCCTGGCAAATCCCTCTGGCCAGAGGGCCCCTCTGAGGCCAGCCAAGGCAAGGAACGCACTCCCAGGCCAGGCAGAAGAGTCCTCTGGGGAGGGCCCCGGGGGCCAGAGACCCAAAGATACACATTCCAGATGGACTGTGGAGAAGGAAACTTCCAATTGACATGGGGGGGTGGCGGGTGTGACTGGCTTTCTTTCAGGTGCGCAGCCTGTGCTGTAGCATATACTCAGGCATGCACAGGCAGGTTCCAGGACTTTCTAAAGGTCTGATTCTAGTCTGTTTCTCTAGTACCATTTATGCATAAGCCAAACAACGTTCTGGCTTTGGGTTACAGAAAGAGAGGACACCATGAACACGCCTCACTCTGGCATCCTTCACATGGGTCAGATATGGGGTGCCCAGATTCTTACCACAATGTCTTATCTCTGTATCTGGATGAAGAGGTGGAAACTGGACCTTATCAATGAGTTGTTTCTTGGCCACCTTCTCTCTAAGGACCAGGAGAGCTGCTCAGCCCCATGAAGGAAGGGGGGCAGCTCATGTGGACCTGCTGCATGTGTTGCCTGTGTCTCAGGGACTCACGTGGGCCTGGGAAGGCTGGGTGGGTGGCTGTCCTGGGTTCCTCTTCTCCTCAGCTTGGGGACATGACAGGAGAGTCTTTGGGGGTAGAGGGCCAGGCAAGCCATGCAGGGAGCCTCAGGCCCAGCCACGTACCCAGGTGCAGGCGCACGGAGACTTCCAGCCCACTGTGTACACAGGCACACTCACAGACACACACTCGCTCCCTCACTCCCTTCTTCTCAGGTCACTGTCACCCACATTCCCTCACAGTTGCTCACCACTCCAGACCTGCCACCCCGCAGAGGGATCTAGGGTTCCAACCAGTGCAGCTCCCAAGCCCTGAGGTTCCAGGGAGCCAGAGGGGCAACACACTTTGACATGGTTCTAGTCCACTTGGCTAAAATTGGTCCCTTCAAGCCAATCCAAGACTTACTTACTTTCAGTTTGCTTCACCAGTTTTTTTTGTGGGGTTTTTTTTTTTTTTTTTTTGTGGTTTTATTGAAAATCCGGGGACAGGACCTATGGGCAGAAAGAGCTGCGAAAGTTTACGTCACTTAATTACAAGTTTGCCAAAAGTACGGTTCCCTTTGGGGTGTTTTTACAGCCATTTAGTGTTGGGTTTTTTTTATATTTTGGGTGTTCTAAGAATTTTTATCTATTCATCCGACAGTAGTTCTGAATCATTGTCAACAAAATAAATTTATCAAATTTGCAGCACTTTGTAAATGATATTTTTTCCTAAGTTTATGGAAAACGTTACCTATGTTATCTACTTTTCAGATACTTTCAAAAAAGTTTAAAGTAGCTAGCAATAAATATAATTGGCACAGACATTTTGTGTATCATTTTTTGTGTTTCTTAATATTCCTTTACAAATTAGATACCTTGGAAAAGTTAATGGAGCTCTTAAGATTTTGGTGCTTTGGCCTAACTTCTACATTCCTACTGTGAAAAATGCCCATAAATTCTAAACAATTGAACAAGCATGTAGCATAATCAGTTGACTAACACTTAAAGATTACCCAGACAAGTACAATAAAAAGTGAAAGCATGAGTCTACTAAATCCTTTTGAAATGCTGCAGATTTGATAAATATTTATTTGAGACTAATTGCCCCTGGGTGACTTGATTTTAGGCAAATTAATCTGATAATCTTTGATCCTTAGTCCTCATTCTCTGTCACTTAGAGTTTCATCCTGGAAACGGTGACTTGTGGGAACAACAGTCCCACATTTAGGGGGTTTCTAAGGTAGCCCGTGTCAGCCAAGCTGGGGTCGCGGAGAAGAGGCCTGTGCATGAGGGTATGATCTAGAGAAAGAGCTCACATTCATACCACTGAGTACTGGAGGGGATGCACTTTTGGGTGAGATAAATGTTCTGAAACTGGATAAGTTGGTCTACAGCTGGGATTTCTTCTTCTGAATTATTATTATTAAATAAGTGAATACAAAGACTGTGACTGGGCAGTTTTCTCACCGGGCCACTCCAGGCCTGAGAAATCCAGGCAAACACATATAACTTTATATCTACCCTTTCTTTGACTCTTGGGGGTCTTGTCCACTCCAACCCTGCGTTTCTAACTCTGACTTCAGCCTCGCATCTGTTGCTGACTGGCTGATTCCTTTCTGGGTCTATGCTCATCTATGCGAGCCCTGGAGCTTCCCAAGACTGTTCTTGCTCCCGGGGCTGCTCCCTCCTTCCCAAGGAAAAAAAAGTGCTAACATCTGTTGAGGACAGGCCCAGGGAGGGCAGGCCATGGAGAAAAGCAGCCCCAGCCACCCCTCATCATCACTGGCAGGCTCCCAAGTGTACCCTGCATTGCAAGAGTTTGCCTTCTTGCTGTTCACTGGGACACTGCTTGTCCTTAGTCATGCTGTTTCATATCTATAGCTGATGATTCCTGGGGTGCTGCAAAGGGTACAGTAATAAGTAGACCTTGTTTGGCCAACTAAGCACCCGATTTTCATCAACAGCCACTAGGCCTGAGATGGGGAAAGGGAGAAATGGAAGAATTACAGATCCATTTCGTGTTTCTAGATGAGAGTTACAGTACGGGGTGGGGGGAGGGCAGGCTTTCACAGCCGACATCAGCCATGTGCTCTGCTCAGCCTGTTAAGCACAGGCCTGAATGTGGTTTGTGAGGAATAAGGCTGGTGGTGGTTCTCTCTTTTTGCCTCACTCTTTAGAGATCTGTTTCCCCCTTCACCACCTGGCGCTCTCTAGGCCAGGGAAGCGGTAAGATTCCATTTGTAATCAAGCTGGAGACTGTCCTCAGTCAAGAAAGTAGAGAAAGCTATTTTCAGGCATGTAAAGCCAGCTGGAGGAGGTCCTTGAGACTACCTATAAAGAAGGGCTAACAAGAGGGAAAGCAGAATGGTAGAACCGAGACAAAAGGATTGGGAAACCCAGTGAGCAAAAACATTTTGTTGTTTAGAAGGATCCAGACCCCAGAGTGGGCCTGGGGTCATTTGGAGCCCTAATGTTAGGGGACTCCACAAGGACAACCCCTGTCCGCTGCCTTCTGCCATGCCAGTCATTGGTGTCGAGCTGTCGGGATATCCACACTTGGCCCTGGTTGTGAAGGACTGAGGTTGGACCTTGAAAACAAGAGCAAACTGTCACTGGGACGGATGGATTAGAGCAGTCTAGCTGGTTTTTGGAGTCGTCCAAGGCAGATTCTGACCACCTAGGCTTCAAAAGGACAGCACTGCCCCATGTCAAGGAAGCCAGGGAGCAATCCAAGCAGGGAGACATGGCTTAGAACATCTGAAAGGTACAGATTCAGGTCAAATGCTACAGACTTACAGCCGAGCAGGGTGTGACTTTAGAGAGAACCCAGTGACCTCATTTTACCAAATGAAGAGATAGTAACAGTGATAATGGCATTTACCCAAGGTCATGCAGCTGGAAAATGACTTTCCCACTTTTGAAGACTAACAGCTTATTTCCCCTCTTCCCTCCCACCCCAGCTCTCATCCTCATCACAGGGACTCCCACAGCACAAGCAAACTGTAAATTAGATCAGCCCTTCATTATGATAAATAATTAGATAAAGTTTTAGTGGGAAAGCCAGGGAATCCAAGAGACAATAATGAAAACTTTTGGTTCTTTATAGTGCTTCCCCCACCCCCGACCCACTGATTTGAATTAGTAATAGTCTAAAACACCTTTAAAAGCACACTAGGAGAAGCAAAGGATGGGGCGCCTGGGTGACTCAGTTGGTTAAGCATCTGCCTTAGGCTCAGGGGTCATGATCCCAGCGTCCTGGGATCAAGTCCCACATGGGGCTCCCTGTCAGCAGGGAGCCTGCTTCTCCCTCTCTCTCTGCCTGCCACTCCCCCTGCTTGTGCGCGCTCTATCTCTGTGTCAAATAAGTAAATAAAATCTTAAAACAAAAACAAAAACAGGGACGCCTGGGTGACTCAGTGGATTGAGCCTCTGCCTTCGGATTGGGTCATGATCTTGGGGTCCTGGGATTGAGTCCCACATCGGGCTCTCTGCTTAGCGGGGAGCCTACTTCCCCCCCCCCCGCCCCTGCCTGCCTCTCTGCCTACTTGTGATCTCTCTCTCTGTCAAATAAATAAAATCTTTAAATTAAAAAAAAAAAAAAGAAGAAGCAAAGGAAAGACTCTGCAGGAGAGTCCCTGCCCTTGAGGAGGTCACAGTCTAGCCAGGGAGACAAGTACACACATAAAATACCTTGAGAAGATTACAAGCAACATGTCACCAAGTGCAAAGTAATTGATTGTTACAAACGAAAGACCTAATGCTTCAGGGGACCAATGACAGGGGGAGACTTTGTTGGGCTTACAATGTAGATCAGAAGGTGGCTGCCCCAAATGCATTCTTTGGCCTACTGGGAGTTATTTTTGATAATATCAATTTGAAACCTCGAGGAGGGGGAAAACGCCAACTAACAAATGTAGGAAGAATGACACAATTGGGAGAACAGCATTTTGTGAACTTGAATACATGACTGATCCTGGCAGAGATTACTAATTGGAGTTATGACAAGTGAAATGGTTGGTGGACAGCTGGACATTGCCAAGTAACCTCTCAGCGCATGGTCTTGGCATCACTCATTTCCTGGAACAGGTCTTGGTGTCATTAACCAGCCCACCAGTTCTGGTGTGAGGCAAACACATAACCCCACAGTGTTATAGAGTCTAGCTGCTCCCCTCCCCTCAGAGAGGTGTTAGAGTTTAGAGTTTACAGGCCGTGCTGGGAACAAAGTAAAGGATGCCAAGAGGAAGCAGCTAGATGCACCTAGAAAGGGAGGCATTCTGCAGGGCCACTGGCTAACTCTCTTCAGCAAGTCAGTATGATTTTTTTCTTTTTTTTTTAATTTAAATTCAATAAGCGTGTGCCTTCAGCACAGGGCTCGGGTCATGATCCCAGTGTCCTGGGATCTAGCCCCACATCGGGATCCACTCCCCCTGCTTGTGTTCCCTCTCTCGCTGTCTCTTACTGTCAAATAGGTGGATAAAATCTTTTTAAAAAATTAATAAATTCAATTAGCCAACATATAGTACATCATTATTTTCAGAGGTAAGTTCAATAATTCATCAGTTGCATAGAACACCCAGTGCTCATCACGTTGCGTGCCCTCTTAATGCCCATCACCCAGTTACCGCATACCCCTACCCACCTCCCCTCCAGCAACCCTCAGCTTGTTTTCAAATCCGTATGATTTTTTTTCTTTTTAAAAGATTTTGTTTATTTATTTGACAGCAAGAGAGATCACAAGTAGGCAGAGAGGCAGGCAGGGGATGGCAGGGGAAGCAGGCTCCCTGCTGAGCAGAGAGCCCAATGCAGGGCTCAATCCCAGG